TCTAGGACCATAAGGGATTACTTGTAAATCCTTTAGGGCTATAAGGACTTACTTGTGAATATACATAATATAATAAAAGCTCTTTGGGGGTGGGGATCGAATTCATTCCTTGACACTCCTGAAACCTGGTGTTAGACTCTCTTCTGTTCAGCTTGTTGGTCATTTTATTCCTTAATCTATTTTTTGGAAGTGTCAGATCTTGTTGAAACTCTAGATTGTGGATCACCCAGACCTGGTTTACTTGTTCTCTTGGATGATTCTAATTCTGATCAGATTTGAGAGGCTTTTGATCACTTGTTGCAGTTTGCTTTTTTGGACAGGTGTGCAGCATCTCTTATTTGATTTCTAGTTCTATTGGCTTACTCAAATCTGGTTTCAAAATAAGGACCAGGATCTTGATACATATCTCTATACCTAGTGCTACAAGTATTTTCGAGGGATTCTTGCAGTCTGATTTAAAGGTGCTTGCTGAAATTAATATTTGGACACAATATTTTCTTTCTTCGAGAAATCACACTTTATTCATATATCATACCTGTTTGATTGCAAATGGCCTTTGATAAGATTTAAGTTATTCTAGTTAACCTTATTGGATCCAACTAGGGAATACGGAAATTCCATTTTGACTTCTTTGTTGAAGAGAAAGGCCTAGAAGATCATTTGAATAGTATTGTTATTTGTTACTCGGCCCAATGAAACTGATGCCAAGGCCTATCAACAAGGGATGTTGGATAATGGTAGATTGGTTTTCAGGATTCTTGGTACAATTGAGTCTAACATTGCACTACCTATGAGAAAGATACAAACTTCCTATTACCCATAGAGGAGGTATGCTTCAGAGCATGCTGCAACTTCAAGTTTGTCATGTTTATTAAATAGTAAACCTTTTCTTCGGCATGTCTTGAGGTATCTGAGGATTCTTTCAATGGCCTTCATGTGACAAACTCTAGGGGCATGCAATCTACTGAGAGACAATAGAGAAGTTTAACAACCAGCCATTGGTACCTTGTTGGGATATAGCTCGTCATCACCTTCATGCAACCCATGATTCTATTCAATGGAAGTGTCTGCCAGCCTACTTACTAGCTTCCCTGTTTCATTCAACAAGTCCAATGCATACTTCCTCTGGCATATGTAGATCCCTTCACTACACCTTGCCACTTCTATTCCAAGAAAATATCTCGAAGGACATAGGACATTGATTTCAAATTTTGAAGCCAAAAAACTTTTCAGCCTTTGAATCATTTCTATTAACCACCATATCATCAACATACACAACCACCTCAAAATTTTCCTTTCGATTTGAGTATCGTTTCTATTAGCCCTTTTATCCATATTTTATCCTCTAATATTGATAGTCCTAATCCTTCTACTTTTCCTACTATCAATGTTTCTTCTCCCTCCAACGTTGATTTGCTCATTGCCCTTAGGAAGGGAAAGAGTATCCAACATCCTATTTTTAAGCATGTTTCTATCTCTATTTCTCCAACTTACCATACCTTTATTGCCTCCAGTGAGTCCATTTCTTAGCCCACTAGTGTGTCAAATGCACTTGCCAAACCTTAAAGGAGAAAATCCATGGATAAAGAAATGAGAGCATTAGAAAAGAATGGTACTTGGGAATTGGTGGACTTGCCTATTGGGAAATGTCTAGTAGGATGTGAATGGGCGTACAAAGTTAGATACTATCCAGATGGATCTTTGGAAAGGTACAAGGCAAAGCTTATTGCCAAAGGGTTTACTTAGACCTATGGAATATAGACTATCAAGAGACTTTTGCTCTAGCTGCCAAAATTAACTCTATAAGAGTGTTTCTCTCTATTGCAACAAATAGGCCTTGGCCTCTATATCAACTAGAAGTGAAGAATGCCTTACTTCATGGAGACTTACATGGAGAAGTCTATACAGATGTTCCTCCAAGAATAGACTAACTAAATGCTAATGTAGGTTGAAGAAGATGGGGGGGGGGGGTATAATCAAAGCCAAGCTGATCATACACTCATTATCAGACGAGATGGAGGCACTGTGGCAGTATGACATTGTTGTAACAAGGGACAACAAAGAATCCTTCATCTCCCCTAAAACTCTAACTCTTAGATACTAATCCTTCATCTTATTCCTTTATAGAAAGCAACTTGTCCTTGTTCTGACATGAAAATTATTGTTACAATGCTATCTAATGAAGATCACTACTTTCGCCAATTTAGATGCTTGCTGGGTGTTATGCTAAACTATGGAATCAACCTAGAAACTATAGTTTCTTTGTCAAAATTCATTTCCTAAGTGGCTGCCTATGTGACTAAATGATCTATTATCACCTAACATAGCCTATACAACTTGACAACTATGCCTTATACATATCCTTGCACATGCAAGCTATTAGCTCTCGGATTCTAACTTCTTAGGGATGAGAGAAATGACCATATCATTTGAACCTTTGATGATGATATCCTTCATGAAATTCCTAAAGAAAATCAAGAAATCATCCTCAATATCCTCGCAACACAATGTGAACCCATCAGGACCTGGGGCATTGTCTTGGTCCATTGCAAACATGCCCTCTCTTATTTCCTATTGCACAAAAAATCTTCCTGATCAGATGGCTATGTTATGGAGCAAAGGGCCTCCCATTGTCCTTTGACCAAGGGGACCCATGAGAGGAGGGGGGATGGAACGATGTGACATTCTGATCCAGAAGCCTCCACAATTTTTTGTTGATCAGACATCTCTTCCCAATTCAGCATAATTTGGGATATACAGTATCTTGTTGATCAATGCAAATGCAATTTCTGTTACATATATAGGCCATGCATCTGAATTTCATCAATACCAAATCATCTCTTTATTTGTAGCTTTCAACACCCAAAAATTGACTACTGCTTCAGCTAAATTGATTAGCCAAACCATTCAATGAAGTTTGCAAGATGACTCAATCAAATTATCAGCATGCCAAAGCTGTTTTGCATGAATTTTGGATAGGCAGAAAAAAAATCTTTTTATCATATACTTATTCTGTATATCCCACAAAAACTAGTATACACTTCAGATCATTAGATAAGTTCAGAAATAAAACAAAAGGAAATAATAATAGCTAATTACTTCACTCAAAATGAGAACCCCTTTTTTTGAATCTTGGCATGCCACATATTCATAGCTGACGAGGTTCATTCCATCTCTCAATGATGTCACAAGGGCAACATCTGTATAGGGAAGAAAATTAAGGAAACAAATTAGTCTATTAATAAGAGCATACACGCAAGTATGCTTAAGCTTAATGATAAGAGCCATGGACCTGCCCATGGTTTGCAACTTCAATGTCAATAGATGTTTCATCATGCAGAAATGTGGAAATTTAAGAGATATTTTACCAATTCAACTAAGATATTTGGAAAATATGAAGAAATTAGGTGAAATTACTAAAAACATGAATTTTTCTAATGAAACATCTTAGATACTTAGAACTATAATTTCACAATTAAAACTCAAATAACTACAGCAAACAACCATGTATATAAAATTAAAGAAGATTAAGATACTTGAATAGGTATCTCTATTTATCTCCCTTTTAGTCTTTTAACCACCTTCTCTTTTATATGCATGTCATTCACTTGCCATTTGATTTGTGCTTTTTGTTAATGTTTTGGTTACATTGAGAATTCTTTTTTCAAGTTGTGTGTACTTTTTTTTTCTTTCTTTTGAATTATAGTGGTTTAGTGAATCACATATAGACCAATAAACCAACCATCCAATTACAAAAAACCCATTTGTTCTTTTAGGAAAATACTTTCAAAAAAATTGATAATTTTTACATTGGCTCCTAACGAAATGGAGAGATTTCACCAAATCTTGCTGATATTGCAAACCATGGTTTTGACCATCTGGGGCTTTGAGAGGGTAGACTGGAAATAGACCTATTTTTTTTTAAGGTAAAGTATAATGTATTAACTGAAAAGAAACTGTACTTCTACCAAAAAAAAATGTATGGTCCTGTGATAAGATTTCTGTACAATTACAACACCATCAAAGGTTGTACAGTGCAGATAGAGGTATGTTGGTCTTTTTGAAGGTAGACTGGAAATAGAGAGAAGTGCTGAAGAGCTGAGGTATGTTGGTCTTTATGGGAAAAAAGAAACTCCAGGATCTTCTCTGAAGTAGAGAGAAGTGCTGAAGAGCTGAGAGAAATGATCCATATAAGGGTTGTACAGTGGCTAAAATCTTCAGAGCTGTTCACAGATTACACAATGGATGACATGTTGAGGAAGTGGGGTGAGATTGCTAGCTGTACCCAGATTACTAAACTTTGAGTTTGTCTTGGACCCCTCCACCAGCTGGTTTCTTAAAACTAAACTTTGATGGTAGTAGAGGGAATCCTGGACACTCAGGGATTTGGGGTGTGTTTAGGAATGAGAATGGGATTGTTTCAGCCCTGTTCTCAGGCCCAATTGGAGTGGGTGATTCTCTCAGGTGTTACTTTTTTCTTTGTAATTTAGTGCATATTTCTTGCTATTCACAAGGGACAGTTTAAAAATAAAGGAAGAAAAGAGTACCAGTCACTGCATATAGCGCACATAATTTGTGAAAGTCGAGGGAACGATCCTGTAAACAAAAACATGTCAGACAGACAATCTTGTGACTCTTGTCAATATTATCATTTTAAGATATTACAAGAAAAAGAAGGGACAGGCTGACTCAATAAGCTGTGGACAAGACTATAATGTAAAACAAAAAGTTCTGCCAACATTTTTATATGCCCAACCTTTGAATATAAGTTCTTTGCATAACTATGAATAATAAACAAATTTGTATGGACTTTAAAAATGACAAAACTGGGACTTTTGATATCACTCAGAAAAATAGATTCTAGTAATTCAAGATTTTACAATACATGGATAAACAACTATAGCAAGAAATGGTCCAACTACTGAACACCATGCATGTTGAAATACAATACTTACAGAAAATGAACACAAAAAAGTCTTGGTTGAACATATACTGGAATCACGAAATAGCTCAAGTAGTGAAGAGTTTCTTATTAATTGAAAGGATCCACAGAAGATAGCATCAAAGCAACATAAGAAGATGACAAAGCAATGAACATATTTAACATCTTAAACTTTATAAATTTGGTTTTAATGCAGCTAAAAGGGTACATACCCCTGCAATGAAAAACCAAATATAAGTTGTCAACTCCATAGAATATTCTAGTAGGCATTCATGGCCTAAGATCTCATCAAAACACATAAATCTATGTTCTTTTTCTTCTTTCTTTTGTTTTTCTTTTTTTTTTTTTTTTGATGATAACAATCCAAATAAACAAGATGTTTCAATGAGACCAAAAGAACACCTTAGGCAATAGGAAAACCAAAATGCCTACAGATAATACTTGATCAGCTGATTCAAGTATAATAGATTCCCTGAGATTCCATACTTGGACTAAGCAATATTGGACAACCAAGTTTACCACTCAATGAAATGCTTAATTTTGTGCCAAGGATTAAAACTTCTTAAAAAAGTAGTTTAAGCTCCATGGCCCTTCTAGACTTGACATAAAGCCAAACAATCACCAATTTTGAGTCTCCTTCGACTGAAATGCTCAAATAACCAAGAAAAAAGACCAAGATAATATAATAGCCTAAGGCCTTGGAAAATAGATAAGATCTTAGTCATAGGCTCCTAGCAGAATCACTCTGTCTGATAAATCCTAAGAAATATAAAATGATCTGACATCCAGAATACTTGAAAAACCTCCTATCCCTAAGGGAACAGAATTTCCCTAAGAACATCTGTCAAAATTGAGCTTAACAAATTCCAAAAGAGCATGAAGAAAGTTGAACTTTCCATTTGGTGCAACTTGGATCCTAAAACTGCATATCTGCCATGATCCAAGTAATTAACAGGGATTCCTCTGGAGTCTGGATAGATCTACAAAAAGTGCCAAATAACTACCTTATGAAATCAATAACAACCTGGAAAGAATCAGCCTTTTCAATGAAAGATCCTGAAGCAACTTTACTTCCATATGCTCCAAAATATTGAAAGACTGGTGCAATGCCCTCAGTAAACGATCATCACACAACAGCAATCTCTTCAGTAAAAGATCATCACATATGAAAGAGCTACTCAGTAAATTGGTAGTGAATATCAAATGGCTATTGACTCCCCGTCACCACATACAATGAGCAGAACTCAAGGGAAAGAATCTATCATTTTCTGTCTTCTCAGAAGCATATCACAGGTATTAACTTTCTTGTTGGCTACTTCCCTCCCAAACATCTTGATCACGGGAGGAACAAGATCTGCTCAAATGATCTTAGCAGGACCACATATCTACGAAAACATATTACAGTACAACCACAAGGTACCTTAATAAAGAATGAACAAGAGAATATATCATCAGATTTAGTATGGCATTCATTCTTTTCCCTAGTTCTTTAATAGAATAATATTGTATTCTAGAAATCAAAGAGGAATTATACATGTAGCAGTGCAAAAAGGAGATGAACAATGGGAAAAGAAGAGAGAGAGAGAGAGAGAGAGAGAGAATGGCTCTCAAGTTACACTTCCCAACCATCCAAGAGAAAAGAACAATGGAAAAGAAAAGAAAAAAAAAAGGAAACAATTTATACAAAAGTGTTCAACTCAGGTAACCTTGCAAAACCCTGAACTTGATCTACCAAGTAGAAGCATCCAAAAGCATCAATAGCCAAATCCCCTCAAGTACCCCTCTCTTAATCAGAAACAGAATCTCCATGTCTGCTAAAATGCATGAGTAAGACATGAGAAAGACAAAATCAAGCTAATTGATCACAACCAAACACTCCATAGTTTACCTACCTATGTATCTATTTACATACATAAAACATGCTTACATACATGTATATATATGTAGATATACATGTATGTGATCAGTGACCGAAACTTTTTCAAAGAAAAACAAACTATCATGCTGCCAGAAAGGGAGAAGTGACCAGTAGAAGAACCTCTATAGAAGCAAGACACTAAAAAAACATGTACAAAAAGCACCCACCAAAAGAAAGCAATATAAACCATGAAGTAAGATCCCAAACCAATATAACTCATTTCCAGCAGCTCCTCCCCTGACTAAATCATCAGCCGACTAATTGGATCATCTAAGAATACATGTGAACAAGATAATGAGATATTTATTCCTTCACCATGCCATATTTAGAAGGTACGGAAATAAAATGTAAAACACCTGTTTTTGAAGTTGGAAAATTGCAGCCTATAATTAGTCAACAGACCAATCAGCATGCATTATGTGGTTATCAAGTGTAATCACTGCTTTACACAGAGAAAGAACAAGATAATGAGATATCTATGTGCCTGGTTCTCTCATGAAACACCGGATTAGAGGAAATATGAATTGCAGCCTGATTGTCACAATAGAGCTTCATCGGAGTATCAACAGTGTATCCCATCTCCTGTAGACAGTTCCTTAGCCACACTAATTCACAAGTAGTATGTGTCATAGCTTTATATTCTGCCTCTGCACTGCTTCTTGCTTTTCCATGTCACTAGATTTCCCTCAAGAAAAGTGCAATAGCCTGTGGTAGATCTCCTATCAAATATAGAACTGGCCCAACCAGCATCAGTATATCCTTCTATTTCAAGTTTTCCACCACTTCTGTATATCAAACCATGACCAGGAGCTCCCTTTAAATACCTCACAATCCTTAGAACCGCATCCCAATGTGGAACCAGAGGTTTCTGCATGAACTGACTTACCACACTAACTGCGAATGAAATGTCTGGCCGAGTGATGGTTAGGTAGTTCAGTTTACCTACCAGCCGCCAATATCTATCAGGGTCTTCAAACACTTCACCCATATCACTGCTCAGCCTAGTGTTTGTTTCCATGGGTGTTTCANTATCTATCAGGGTCTTCAAACACTTCACCCATATCACTGCTCAGCCTAGTGTTTGTTTCCATGGGTGTTTCAGCTGGTTTAGCACCTAACAAACATGTTTCTTCHARMAAATCAAKRACATATTTCCTYTRACACAAGTTAATACCATGCTTAGACCTTGCTACTTCTATCCCCAAGAAATACTTCAATTTACCAAGGTCCTTTGTCTGAAAATGTTACTGCAAAAAAGTCTTCAACCTGTCAATGTCCATTTTATCATTTCCGGTAATGACAATATCATCTACATACACCACCAATAGGATCTTCCCTGCCTGAGAGTCATGACTGAAGACTGAATGGTCAACTTGGCACTATTTCATACCAAACTTCTTTACCACCTCACTAAATCTGTCAAACCATGCTTGAGGAGACTGTAAGCCCATAAATGGCCTTTAGTAGTCAACACACCTTATCATCCTCCCCTTGAGCAACAAACCCCGATGGTTGCTCCATATAGACCTCCTCGAGCAGATCACCATGCAAGAAGGCATTCTTGATATCAAGCTGATAGAGGGGCCAATCATACATCGCAACAAGAGAAACCACAACACGGACTAAACCAATCTTAGCAACTGGGGAGAAAGTCTCTGTGTAATCAATACCATAGGTTTGGGAATACCCTTTGGCAACCCGTCTAGCTTTCAGCCGCATTACACTGCCATAAGGTAAGTACTTAACCATATAAACCCACTTACAACCAACAACCTGCTTACTAGGAGGTAGAGTGGTGAGTTCCCATGTATGATTATGGGCCAGAGCTGAGAGTTCTTGTTCCATCGCACGACACCATCCTGGAGAGGCAAGGGCTTCCTGAACATCCTTAGGGATAACAATAGAGGATAACAAAGAGAAAAATTGGCGATGGGAAGTGGAAAGGTGAGTCAGTGAAACATAATTAGAAATAGGATGAAAGGTACATACCTTTCTGCATGGCAATGGGAAGATAAAGATCAAATACTAGGGTTGGTGCTGGTGTGGGAACAACTACCGGATCTGTCAACGATGATGGAGTTGGAGAAGGAGCCGGTACATGTGGGCGATGTGTATACACGTGATGGATAGGTGGTCGTTCAACAGGTGGTGGCAACGGAGGCAAGGACTTGGTCATAGCTGGAACAAGAGGAACAAAATCCACAACTGGAAGAGGAAGGAGAGGAGGTGATGAAGAGGAAGAAACATCACCGGACCCCAAGAAAAATGGAGTAGACTCAAAGAAGGTAACATCAACACACACAAAGGAACGTCAAGAGCTGGGATGATAACACTTATACCCTTTCTGAGTCCGGAATAGCCAAGGAAGATGCACTTAATAGATCGTGCACCTAACTTGTCTTTTCCTGGTCCCAGATTATGAATGAAGCAAACACACCCAAAAACCCGAGGAGAAAGAGGAAACAGAGACAAGGTAGGAAACAATGTGGTGAATGGAGAATGACCATCAAGGATAGACGTGAGCATCCAGTTAATCAAGAAGCAAGAAGTAAGCACTGCATCACTCCAAAAAGATTTGGGACATTCATGTGATGCATGAGGGACCGAGCTATTTCCAAAAGATGACGGTTCTTTCTCTCAGCCACCCCGTTTTGTTGTGGGGTGTAGGTACACGAAGTCTGATGGATAATGCCATGTTGGTCTAGGTATTCTTGAAATGATGAAGAGAAATATTCACGGCCATTATCGAAACGAAAAATTTTAATGTGAACACCAAATTGGTTGTGAATCTCAACATAAAATTTTTGTAAAATGGTAAACAATTCACTTCTTTCATTAAATAGAGCCACGCCATCCTTGAATAATCATCAACAAAAATGACAAAATATTTATATCCATTGTATGACATTACTTTATAAGGACCCCAAATATATGAATGAACTAAAGAAAAAGGACTCGACATACGGTTATCAACTCTAGGACTATAGGGAACACGATGATGTTTCCCCAACTGACACGACTCGCAATGCAAAACAGACAAATGACTCAATGAAGGAACCGAAGACTTCAAAACATTCAGTGAAGGATGACCAAATCTACAGTGCCACTGGAGAGGAGAAAGAGACGATTGTAGAGTTGTTGACGTACTTCCACCACCATCAAGATAATACAATCCACCAGCTTCATGCCCTCCACCAATCTTCATCCCTGTCTTGAGATCCTGAAAAACACACAAAGAGGGGTAAAAGGTAATGGAGCAATTAAGAGACTTGGTCAACTTACTAACTGACATAAGATTAAAAGGAAATTTAGGGGCATACAAAACTGAGGATAAGGATAAAGGGTCCATGTTAACATTACCAACACCACAAATGGAAGATGTGGAACCATTAGCAAGGGTAATAGATTGTGATGTTGGGCAATGAGAGAGGGAAGAAAACACACCTGGAGTTCCAGTCATGTAATCGGAGGCTCTAGAATCAATAATCTAAGGATTGGGTGTGGATGCCAGATAAGCCATACTTGAGTGTGCGAGAGTGGCCGTGTTCTGCTGAGATGTGACCTGAACAAACCTCTTATACTCATCACGGGGAACACTCATCATCTCCTTCCCAATAACATCTGTGGATGTAGAAGATATCTGATCAGCTGAATGACTCTCCTGTTTGAAGCTACTATCACTAATCAGGGCATGATTGGCCCAAGTTGAGGGTGGACCGTGCAAGTCATAGCAATAATTAATGGTATGTCCATCCATACCACAGTGTGTACACCTCCTCGGACTTGAACTACGTCCTCTGCCATGAGCTCCCCCTGAATCTCAATCTCCAGTGCGACCACCACCACGGTTATATGTAGGTCCATTACCACCACTCCGGCCATATGCCGGTCCACAGCTGCCACTACGGCCAAACTGAGCTCCCCGAGCTCCACCTCTAACACCACGACCTCTGGATATTGCAAAGGCTGATCTATTAGAAACATTAGCGTTCTCGGTAGATCTAATGGAAATCCTCCTAAGTCGAGCAAACACCTCTTCTAAGGAAGGGAGAGCTGACCCTCCTACTATCTAAGCCTGCACTGGTTCATAATCAGATTTTAGCCCCACCAAAAATCGAGTCACATCAAGTTGTTCCCTTTGTTGTTGCTGAATTTTGACATTAGAAGTGAGAGGGTGATAAACATTCAATTCATTACGAATGTTTCTCATACTAGCATAGTACTCCTCAAGACTCTGATTACCCTGTTGTAGATTAAAATATTCTTGATACAACTGATATACTCTGGTTGTATTGTCTTGGCCCGAATACAACTTCTTAGCATGGTCCCACACTTCTTTGGCAGTATCAAGAAACATGAAATTTACACTAATCTTGGGTTCCATACTATTCCATAACCATGTGATAATCTGTGCATCTGCTTGCTCCCAATCATCATACTCATGAGAATCGATGGAGGGTTTTTCGTCCCTTATGTGTTTCACCTTCTTATTTGCCTTAAGAAAGACTTCTACAGATTTAGCCCAAGGTACATAATTTTCTCCATTCAGCTTAATGGAGATCATTTGAACATTCAGGTAGTCAGTAGGAACCATCACACTAGTCTTGCTATCGCTATTGTCTCCCATTGCTGAATTCTGGTATGACTGAATTCGGCACACTAGACCACACTACACACTGATTTCAGCACTTATTATTGCTGTAAACTGCACTCTTTACCTCACAACTACCTGAAACTTCAACACTGTTCGAGGAACACTTCCCCTTCGAATCATACTGAAAACTGCACAAACCCTATCACACTACAATCTGAAATCCCACCATACCATCTGAAACAGACTTATCATTTAATTCACGCCAAGAAAATGCATAGAACCTCTTACCTGATCACCCGAAAATAAGACCACACAAGGCACCCATTGCACCACACGAATCAGCCCTCTTCTCTTCATCGATTAGGGGAGGGCTTCTTAGAAACCACAGYAACCGACCAYRMAMRMCAYAACTRGAGGCATAGAAACCTCCAAGGGAAGAGGGCGATCACTCCTTTTCAGCCCTTTCCCTTATCTCCAACTGATGGCGAAGAAAGCAAGAGAAAACCCTAGACTGGGTGCGCAAAGAACAGAATTTTGGGCAGATCCGATTTGCTCAGTTTAGCTCTGATACCATATTAGAGTTCGGCCTGCCTGTTAGACTGATAACAGTCAAGGAAAAGAGAGAAGAGAGAAAGAGAGAGAGAGAAAGGAGAAGAGTAGAAGAGAGGACGAGGAAAAGGCCAGATCTGTTTTACATTACTAAAATATTGTGGAAAAGTCACATGTGCCCCTACTTAAGTTAGGGACATTAGGTCTAACATAAACTTACACATCAGCACCTAACCATAAGCACAAAGGCAGAAATACTCCTACATACTCGACACTAACACCAACAAACATTTCAGGGACGAAGACAAACTAGAAGATTTCTTCTGCAATCATCCAGTATCATATAGAGATTTTCTGGTCCCCAAACCTGGAAAACTACCGTTTGGATCCTATGTAGCTTGAACTTTAGAATTTAGTGGCGGAGTGATCAAAATAGGGAGACATAACTAACTCTGCCAATTCAGGGATGCATTTGTGTGTGTGAGAGAGAGAGAGAATGAGTCACTCAGGTGTCATTTATTTGCTTCATTTGGTTGAAAAATTTACAAGGCCAATGACCAGAGTCATACTTGGAGGTGGGAATCAAAAGGTGAATTCTTCTTTTCTTTCGTTTTCCTCATTGGGTACTGATAGCACCTTTTCTTCAAGGTAATCAATGTAGTTGACAATTTTTTTTGTATCTCCGACCACCTTATTATGCACATATAAGTACAGATGCATATATGTTAAACATAACATAGAAAGGATGGGCCCAGAATAAGGCCCATTACAGAAAGGAATATAAAAGGTAAGAAAGAATAAACAGCCTATGGGCCATTCGGCCCATCCTCTCTACATATATATATACACATACACACACATATGTATGTATTTATGTATGTATGTATGTATGCATGTGATTATTTATGCATATTCTCTTACAGTTAACAAATTCCTAAATATTCTCTGTTCTCCATTTTCTCCATTTAGTAAACCATTCTTAGTACTATCCCACTTTTCATTCATAATTTCTCTCTGATGTTTCTCCTCAGTATTGATTCATAAAAATCATTTCCTAGTTGATGACCTAAACAGTAGTAGACTAACCAAAAGTTACAGGTGCATACATCAAGAAACTAAAAGCTAAATCATAATAATTTTCTGGTAAGGCACCTTTACCCAACAGGTCAGCAAGAATGATTAGCTTAACACTTAAACTAACATTTGATAACCAATTAATTAGTTAAGAGTTTCCAAAGGCTTCCTAGAGAATAACAACAAGGTAAAACTCAAAATGGTCATGAACCATATCCTTATTCCAAACCATTCAAGGAGCAGATCATTTTCAGTCATAAATATCTTGGTATAATTTACATGAGGAACCATTAAATCAGACTGATAGAGACAAACCAGGTGATGTATGGGAACAGCAGTCAAAGTTCCAAATCTTCCATTAATGCGCCCAACAATTTCATGGACCTGGCTGGTAAGCTTTTGATCTGTCAGAGAAAAATAAAATATATCTATTGAGTAGAACATATAAAGAATGGGTAATAAAAAGCAGCAGCAAATGTTAAAGCTAATATAAAGGACTGAGAAAAAGTACATTTATGATATAGAAACTTGCCCACAAGACAATTAACTGATTAAGAAAATGATCACGTTCTCAAATGAATGAAGTTTTAAATCATGGCACAAGAAATTCAGATATCCATCCTTTTCATTTTCTTTCTTTCTTTTTTCTTTTTTCTTCTTTTTTTTTTTTTTTTGATAGTAACCAGATGGACTGCATTAAAATGATAGTGATCAATAGAGAGTAAACATCATTAAGCTTAATCTCAATAGGCAGTCTAGACACTAAGCTTAATCTCAATACATGATCATCCTATTTACAACCAGAACATCTAATCTGAGAGAGGACTCACCCAATACAACTTGGACCGCCCTATTCCACTTTGTGCAAGACTATCACTCAAATAATTGGCTTGTCTCCTGATCCACCTGAATGAGATATCCACTTTTTTCATTTGATAAATAACAGTGTTTCATTAATGAATAAACCAATTGCCCCAACAGAGGTAGCAGTCGACAGTTACAACACCATCTTGTCTTACCCAATACAGATCAGAATTATCAAAACATTACAGTAACATTACAAAGTATCCTAGCCCTAGTTCTCCCCAATCCAAGAACTGTCTAACTGGTCCAGCTTTAGTTAGCACATCAGCCAGGCTATTTGTGCTTTTAGGAATCCACTTGAATTAGGTATTCAAATTTTCGCCTAGGAAATGAGCATGTCTAACTAAAGGCTGACGTCTCCGAGGGGTATCCTCCCTATCTTACATCCAATATATGATTGTCTGATGGTCTCCTATATCAATCTTAGTCCACCCCTTCATAAATCATAACAACCAATTTCAGTCCTTGTATTTAAAGCTTGCAACTCTGCCTCTAGGGAATTAGTGACTCCTATTGGGCCTGAAAAACTCAGAAGTATGTTACTGCTGTTAGACAGTGTATGCCCTTAGCTCCAATCAGATTGATGTACATTACGTCATTTATTGTAAATGAATAAAGTGCATAATTGATTCATGTGATTTGGTGTGTTTCTGTGTAATACCCTTAAACTGGACAATTACGAGACTCGTGTTAGTTTAGAATCTTCACAGTCATTGGATAGATCTAGGGAGATTTATCCTGCCAAGGCTGACATTGATGTGCCGCCAAGTTGGTTGGGGTGGCTTGTCTCAGTTGCTAGAGTGAGACCTGAGGTACATGCAGTGTGGGTTTTCTTGAAACCCTGAACCAGACCAAATTCCAGTATTGCCCTGGACCTTGGAGATAGATGGGCAAAACTAGAATATTACACCTGACCCCTAGACTCAATTATGGTACTGCATTAGGTGTTGGATTGGGCTGTCTTTGATATGCCAATCAGTGAGATCCTTAGAGGGGGTCAAAACCTAGGCATGTTGGGACAGGATCAGCCCCTTTGTCGGAAAGTGAATGATCGGTGAATGCACTCTCTATGATGGAAACCTAAACTGCCGGCAGTGGATTTCAAATATGTTTGAAACTTGGTTTTGCAAAATATATTTATATAAAGATATACTTATATATTATGGTTTCAAAATGTTTGCAAAATTTTTAATTCCCGGGATCCATGTGAGCACTATACCTTGCAACCGAGGGAGAGGTCCTCTCTTGTTGGGCAATGTTTGATCAATAAGGGCTGAGAGGTTAAGTGTAAGACCATTGAGGGTAATGCCTGATGGGCTAATCTTGCATCTGCCCACAGTTCTTGGGTTTTCATAAGGTGGCTGGATCCAAGAACCATTTAGTGTAAATGTTGGGCCTATTAAGAGCCCATGGTGATGGACTCAGGGGTTCACTGTGACATACAGTGAATTCGGCCAAGCCTTGTAATAAAGGCTGAGTTGAACCCATGTGGCTAATGTGTAGATCAATGTTAGGGTCCCAAGCCATACAAAGAGAGCCAACTGGGTAGTAGATTAAAGAGTAAGTGAGCACATAACCTTAATGGGCCTAAGGCCCAATTCGAACTGGGCTTAAGTTAGTTAATTAAATGGGGGTGAATTCAGTTTTAAATTGATTAGGATTAGTTGAAGGATAAGATAAGTCTTATCCATTTAAGAGTCCAGATCCAAATATAAGATTTGGATTAGGAAACTCTCCTAATTAGATTAGGAGGCTGATCCAGAGAAGCCTATAAATAGGGGGCGAATTCTTCGGATTTTACACACAATAGCAAATTGCAGAATTCTTCCCCAGTTATTGCCACCCCTACCCAGTTCGATCTCCACTTGTGGATCTGATCAAGAAGTGTTCTTGATATTGCTTCTTGGTAGAAGAAGCAATCTGAAGTCGTGCTCACCAGCCCTTGCTTAATTCTTGCTGAAGAATTCAGGTTCTTGCTAATCCTGGGTGACAGGTCCTGCCTTCCTCTCTGGGTGACAGGTCAACCAGTCTGGCTGTTTGGATCAATGACAGATTGCAAATACTGCTCAAAATATGAGATGAAACAGGTCTAGTTTCTAAGCAAAGATGCCTTATCAGGCCTGTATTTAGTTAAATAAATAAAGGGAAAAGGTTCTGGTATGAGTCTAGTGATGGAGAAGGATAGTGATGGAGGAGAGAAGAGGGAGACGAACAGAGTAGGGCAAAACAGTCTCTATCAAGAGAGAGAGCTGCCACCCCTGTATGTTTAATTCATAATGAAAGCTAGAATTGCAAATATTACCCCTGTATACAGAGACTTAAGAACAGAGACAAAAAAACAAAGTTAAAAGAAGGGAAAAGACTAAAATATATCTAGAACAAAAACTGTATTTTCACACCTTACATACATTTGGACAGGTGTATGCCCTAGTTCAAGTTCAAGAGAGTAAGAGATGAGTAATATAGGAGACTCTAAGAAGTGATTGTTCTGCCCTGATTACTACCAAGAGGTAAGGAAAATCTAGTAATAAGAAAGAAAGTTCCAAGGATTCTAGGGGAGATGAAGTGTCAGTATTGTGGCACATGTAATTAAACTAGGGAGAATGGTTAAGCACCACATAGTAGATGCCAAAAGAAGAGAACTAGTAATGCATTCAAGGAAGAGATAATCAGATAACTAGTGAGACATCTTCACAAGGTGCTGCAGATGGTCAAACATCCTCATCCTCCAAAAAAAAATTTAGCATCTACAAGGAGGTAGAGAAGTTCTGCCATATTTTGGACAGTTTTGACTAGTATGCTTAGCCTTCAACTTGCAATTTTTTTTCCGTTAACTTATAAGAAGAATAATACAAGGTTTATGTACAATGTGTCATCAAAGATTATATCTACAAGAAAGCTGTTATTAGAGCTAGCCCATTGCTGCTCCCCCACATCCACCCAAGATAACCCAAATAATCTTTTACACTCAATCTAAAGGATAACTTGCCTACATTAAGCACTGCTACTCCTTTGTTTTTTTTTAATGGAAAACAGAAAAGGTTTTATTACTAAATAAGAATTGGTAAAGAGTTGCAGGATCAGGTTGACTGCCTTAGCTAACCACCTAGTACATTACAATTACAGCTTCCCTTGATAGACCAAACCCCAATATGTTGCTCCCTACCCACCCCTTGCCTTGTCAGTCCATTAGCAGATCTAGGATTCATTTTACAATCGCTCTCAAATCCCAACCCTTGGATCAATGCTTCAATTCTCTTATAATGTGTGTGTCAGTATTTCAATGGCCCATCATGATTACCCCTAAGCCGCCCAATTACAACACATGAGTCACTTTCTACAATTATATTTCTAAAATTCATTAATTTAGCCCTTCTAAGGCCTTGAAGAGCTGGCCGTGCTTCTGCCATGGTGGAGGTCTCCTATCCCTATAGGGCCTGAATGCAATGCTAATGGAATTCCTCATTTCTAAATACACTACCAATCCCAGACTGGCCTGGATTCCCAATGTTGTAGCCAACAAAGTTTAATTTTTTGATATTGGGAGGAGGGAGGATCCAAACAACCTTGGTTAAGACTTTATCAAGCGAAAATTCTGCCACCTGCTTCCAATTTCTCATGAGGTTGTCCACTGTATATGTTAAGATGTCTCTAGAGTATTAAACTTATCTCCACCAATCTCTCATATCTCATTTCTTTCTTCCTATATACACCAAATAATGGTAGCTCTCATGCATCTCTAAAGTGTAGAGATAGTGAGAAGATCTCTAGCTGCGGACTATTTTTGTACTTTTACTTCTTTTGTTGTACATCTATTTTCTCTCTTCTATCTGTCTTTTCGACTTGACTCTGACATGGTACCAGAGCAGTTCACGATCTGATCTGCATATAGTATCTTTTCAATCATTTCTGTTGCTGCTGTCTCAAAAACTCTCAAACAGTATTTGGGAGGCTCTTGAGTGTCTTTGAATCTTCTTCCTAGAAAAGCTTCAGATCTGAACTTTACAGATCATTTCTCTGGACTGTTGCACCATCAGATTTCTCCTTCTTCTTGGATCTCCTTGTAGAGACACTGGATCATTCTGAAATCTTAGATCTGGTGTCGGCCAGAGCAGATCTACTGAATCCTTTTGGTTTGGTTTGCATCAGTTTTGATTTTGAAGGGTTTCAACCCACTTTTCAGTTTGGCAGAATACTACAGTTACCTCTTTTGGACCTCGGCTGAAAGGTACTCTCTTGGTACTCTCTTTTCTACTCTCTGGTTCAAATTTTATTGATTTCCTAGAAGTGTGCATTGCTGTCTTTTGTCCTTCAATGGCATCAGAAAGGATGGAGGTTCTCCCTATTAAATTCAATGGCACAAACTATGCTTTATGGAAGTTTAACTTTCAATTCCATGTCGAAGCCAAGGGTCGTTAGGAATATCTGGATGGTTCTGTAGCTAAACCTGATGATTCAGATATTAAGGGTCATAACCAGTGGAAGATCGATAATGCAAAAATTGCATCATGGATCCTAGGATTAGTCGAAACCGACATTG